CCCCCCCCCCCCCCCCCAAGTGAAATCTATGGCATATGTTAATTGCAGAATAATAGCTTAAGTATAACGCTTCTGTTGGTTTGAATTTCATCATACTTTGTGTCTATGTGTAATGTGTTTAAGGCCTCTTTTCAACGTAATTAAATTACATTTCTTTTTCAGATCTGTTTTCTCCTGTTTGCTATTCTCTACATAGTTTCCTACTTCATAATCACAAGGTACAAAAGGAAAGCAGGTAAGTAATTTTACACATTCAAGTTTTTAACATTACTTTTGCAAAAAGAAATGCTGCAAGGCAGAAGAACCCAACCTTTCCAGGTTGTTGAGCAAACAACGTTTTTCTGAATGTTAGGGGCCCGCAACTGGGAGAGAGAAAAGGGATGTTATATTCTACCTTGGTGAAGATGAAAGATTTCCCTTATTACAAAGCTGGTTGAGACACCTAGTATCAGGCTGATACCAGTTAAGCATCTTGCCCTTTGTGACCTGAGGTTTTGATGGGTTCAACTAGCTGTGGTGATAGGGCCATGCTCATCATGTCTTTACTTCCAGGAAGATGTCAACTCTTGCATCTCATTGCACATAATTATGTAACTCTTACTACTTTTCTATGGTAATCCAAAAAGGGGGGGACCCCCTTCCCCAGCAAACATGTTTGCAAATTGAATTCCTTGGAAAAACATACATGAATAGAAAAGCATAGCTAGCTACTTGGACTTCAAAGTTTCAAAAATAAGATTTCACAGTGGTATCAACTGTTTATTAGTTGTTGTATTAAAATTTCTGATATTGGAATTCACATCTTTTCCTTTATTTGCTTGCCACTTTCACAGTAGATTGTTGACAAGTGGATCCAGCTTCATTTTCATTGTAAACAACCATTCACTTATTTAATTTAGAAATCCAAGTCCTAATGTCAAGATAACTCAGTAAACAGTGCAAAGGGCACAACCTTTTATTTGCATGGATTTTTTCCATTGTGATGCAAGCCTGTAGGTGGCTGGCTCTGCATTTGGAAATGCCCACGTGATTTCTTACTGAAAACCTGGAACACGCTTGTTCTGTTGTGCTAACATTCCTCCCTCAGCTCCTCTACCCATATAATGGAATTGTATAGTTCACCTGCCATGGGCATGTATTTTGTAAAATGCAGAAATAATTTATTTGGATTTAGTAATACTAAATTTTAAATCTGAGCTATAGTTTTCATTTCTTTTAGAACAGTGTTGTTACATAAAGGGAAAGAAAGGATAAGTTTGCTTAAGAACTGAATGTAATGTATTTTAAATTGCTTTTCAGATGAGCAAGAGGATGAAGATGCCATTGTCAATAGAATTTCGTATGTACTTTTCTTGATATTCCCTGTACTATGAAGTAAAAATAGAAAAATAATATCCTTATGATTTTACCTACATAGATATCAACATACAACTGCCAGTTTTTATACAGTTATTTTCATACTGTGTTTTCTTGTTTACCACATTCCACCAAATAACTTGCATTGTTTTTGGGATGGCAGAAATAAGAAGACTTTTCCTGGCTATACAGAGCAGGGACAGAGCCTCATCTTCAGCTTATTCACCCTGCCTCTTCTGCTTGGGAAAAGCTAGTTTTAACCCTTTCATAGCTGAATTGTCAGCACCTCTTAGTTGCTTAGCCAAAAGATGAAACCATGGCTGCTGCTGAAGACTGGACTCCTTGGGCAGACCTAGGATTTTTAAAAGAGCTGACAATATTCTGCAGGGCTGTGAAATAAGAAAAGAGAGTAGCTAACACAGGAAAATTGCTGAAGAGAGGACACCTTGATTTGTGTAACATCAGGACCACTAAAAAGGAGAGAGTTGATCCCTTTGGAGTGAAGAGTGATTAGCAGGAACTGAGTAGATTAATGATGATCCATAAAGTCAGTTGATTTGCTTAATTTTGCCTGAATAGAAATGCCATTGCTTGTGGACAGTTTAGTTTTAAACTTTGGGTAGAACAGGAATCACACCTGTGATTGCACCCCTACATTCTACCCCTTTCCCTCCCTCCCTCCTCTTCCTCCTCCACCACTCCCCAGATCTACCCCTGCTGGACTGTAATCTCCCCTGCATGCAGCTGCTTGAGAGAAGAAAATGAAAGGAGGCAGCTGACATCTTATGGCATTTCCATGCTTCTCTTCTGGGCAGAAAATCAGTATCCTCCACGTAAGACACATGCCCCAATTTTGGAAGGCTAATTTTGGGGGGTGGAGTGGGAAGCGAATGTGGTATGCAAGTAAACATGGTATGCTGTTTTATGGAAAAAATAAACTGAGTGCTACAGGAAGCAGTTTTCACCTGTACTTTGGTTTTGTAGATGACAGGTTGACTCAAATTCATGAGTTCAATATCTGCTCTATTTACATACATTTCCTTTCCCTATTTTTTTTTTTCTGAATCCAATCTCTTCCTTGAGACCACTTTATCCTCACTAAATTTCCCCCTATTTATCTCCACACCCCCATATTCAGTCCCTCTCACTCTTAAGTCTCTTTTTGTTTTTCCTCTCTTATTCAGAAACCATGCAATAGGTTTAAACATCTTGGAATTTTAAAAAATATAATAGAAAGTGGGTCCTTTTATGTGTCTTTTAGTATGTGAGCCTCAAGTGTTTCATGTGCAAGTTATTTTCCATGCCATGAGGGCTACAGTCTTTATTAATAAATGAAAACTGAGATAATGGCAAGATTTGAAAATCGGCATCTTTTAAGACAAATACTAGAAAAGGTCTTTGTGATCAGATTGAATATTAACAACACTGCATTCTGCTGCTTGCTTTCTTCCTTTTCTCCACACGTATACACTGGTCTTCCCCATATACAGATGGCTGGTTCATAGACTGGTGTTGTCAGTCCGTGTGAGCACTGTGTACATAGACAGTGCCCCCAAACAGATAAATCCCCCAAATTTGCACTGTTATGCACTGTAACTGTTTGCTTACTACACCTTTTTCCATTTCTGTCTTTCCACTCCACTTTTGCGTTTTTTGAGCATTGTATTCCTTTCCCCAGCTCTGTTTCATATATCCTTTTCTACATCATAACTTTTCTCTTTTTTTATTTTCTTTCTGTTCCTGTGGATCTATTTATTACTACTTAGGGGAATGTAAGACTGAACTGGATCTTCTGAGCTATCGAGTCCAGTCCCCTCTGTTCATAGGTAATAAATTGCCATAATAGTCTGCAAGAACGTCGCTCTTGTCCTGCCACACACCACCTGTTCACCAAAGGCACAAAATACCTGAGTTTAAAAACAAACAACAACCTCACAAACATCCTTCAGTGCATCTTATGAAGACAGCAGGAGAGACATAGTACCACCAATGCTGTGGCTACTGCAATGGCAGGGTGTTTGTTAGGTAAAATTATGCTCAGATGATCCTGCAAGCCACGTCCAGACGAGTGCGAATGTGCGGTACGTGGCGCTGCAGACCCATCTGTTGTGCCCCACACCGCACGTATAGGTGTTCCCTGGGCTGCTGCCTTGCAGTGTGGTGGGGAGGGGGATCCCAGGGTCAAAAAAACTCTCATTGAGAAAAAGCAGGGTGACACAGGTAATGGCAGCATGCACTGCCCAAAACGAGCCTGGCCTGGAGCCACACGCTGGCTGCCAGCTCGGCTTCCTGCCAAAATTTTTATATTTTTATCCTTTCTCAAGCAAAGTTCTCCCTTTCTGCCAGTCATACTTAAAGTTTGAACAGTTACCTGAACTTCTCATTTCACAAGTCTTTTAATGATCGCTTCCATTTAAGGACAACTAAATATTCTTCTTTCCATTGTCACTTCTGGTTTCTGTAGATGCCAGCCTCCAAGATTTCTAGTCATATCAGGGTAGTAATTATGTCAGACTTCAGTTTAAAATAAGTTTACAGTGTTCTCCTTAAACTTTTATATGATTTACTTTAAAATTTAAACATGCTCCTCTCATAATTGGCAGCACAGTAACTAAGTTGTTCAGGATCTTTAAAACATTCTGGAGGCATTTTTTTACTGTTGTTAGCATACAGGTGCTCCCCTGAAGATCTACATGTTATCACATCACACTCTGATTATTAACACTGAAGAATGTTTAAATGTTGATCTCCTTAAGAGAAGTACTTCTATAAAGGACTAATACAGATTTCTTTTTACCAAGTTCTTTGGTTGTGCACAGTACCTTATAGTTTCTAGGGTTGGAAGGGACCTGAGTAGATCATCTAGTCTGACCCCCTGCCATGGCAGGAAAGAATAGTGGGGTCAAACAACCCCAGCAAGGTGTTCATTTAGCCTCCTCTTAAAGACCCCAAGGTAGGAGCCAGCACCAGTTCTCTTGGAAGTTGGTTCCAGATCCTAGCCGCCCTGACCGTGAAGTAGCGCCTCCTGATATCTAGCCTAAATCTACCCTCTACCAGCTTGTGACTGTTATTCCTGGTCACTCCTGGCAATGCTCGAGGGAACAGGGACTTCCCAGTGTCTGCTGGTCCCCTCTGACTAGTTTGTAACAGGCCACTAGATCCTTCAGCCTTCTCTTGTGGAGGCTGAACAGGTCCAGGTCCTGTAGCCTGTCCTCGTAGGGTCTGCCCTGCTGCCCCCTGATCATGCGAGTGGCCCTCCTCTGGACCCTCTCCATGTTGTCCACA